GTGCGTTGAACTGCTTTACCGAGCGTTTGACGGGATTGGTAAGTAGATGATCGAGAATTGGTTAAACCTTTGGACTTCAATTTTTCACGATATCGCTTCGATGCATTCTTTTGTCGAAGCCATAAATTTTCCAGTGACCTTGCATCTAAATTTTTACGTCTTGCGTTATCACGACGTCGAGCTTTTGCTTTCACTAGTTCTAGTTTGGATTTGTCTTTTGACAAATTGATACGATAAAGTTTTTGTCGTTCAGCATTGGTTTTAGTCATTGTAATATAAGACAAAAACGTCTTATCAGCAAAAAGCGATTCAAGTAAGCAAGATATTAGTGGAAAATAGTTTTCGATAGTAGGTTAGTGTGAATGACAAGATCAAATTAACCGAAAATTATCAATTTAGTAGTATACAATTAACAACAATTCTGATTGGCAGTTCATTTTTAACGGTTTGTCAAAGCTGTCAAAATCAGAACTAATCAGATTTAATCATGTGAGAGCACGCTATTCAATTGAAAAATTTTTAATTTGCTCATTTTTCTACTTGGAAATTGAAAAATTTGCTTTTGTAATAGTATTTCCTGCTTTTTGAGAAAATTCAAATAATTGAAAAACGTCATCGCGTTACGAACATATTTCTAATCGCTGTGAAGCTAGCACGAACACGCCCAGCTAGCACGAACAACCAACGAAATTCATTGGTTCACCATTCGACCACTCAGAAACTAAAACAAGCAACACCAATATAGAGGACCAGCCCATGGACATGGCTGCGCCTAGAAACCGATAATACCGAAAAGCTACGTCCGAAATCCTTTCGCATCTCCACCCCCTATACACCATTCAAATCTCAACGAAACACCAACACCATCGTTTGCGCGCTTCGCCGACCACAACCACACCACTAATTACTCAAAAGGTCCCCATCCTACGCTCTGCAGTACCGCAACTACTAAAACATCCCCCAATCACAAACCTTACCCAGCGATACGCCATTCATTCGCATTCTCGCGAATTCACTTCTGAATCTATTCACAGTCACAGGATCAGCCGAATCCACCTAGAAACCTTCAAAAAACACCCCACATCTTCAGCGAATTAGGCGGCAACACTAATCTATCAATCCTTCATTCTCGTCACTTGAAAATGAGTCCGATGACCTACGAGAGTGTCTTCTAGTGCAGAATTGAATGCTTGATCTGTTCCACATTGCGTAATCCGCCGGAGTAACTCATGAGCGGATCCATGAGACCTCGAATCATTGGTCCACACACGGCCGCCATTGATCTTTTCACTGGCGATTCTCACTAGTTCAAAATGTGCCCGATTACGAACGGATAGTGGCGGCTAGGCTAGAGTAGATTGTAGAATCTGTGGTGCATCACAGAAGCGAGGGAAGCTGTGTGGATACTTGGCTGGAGGACTAACCGACGTCGAGTGATGTGTGAATTCGGATGAACTTTTTGAATTTTTTTTGTAGGTGCGGAGTTGGTCCCGGATTAAAAGATCTGTTTGGTTGATGATCGATTGATGGTCGAATCAATTTTCTTTGGAACAATTGCGATGAGTAAGATGACAATAGTGCTCAGTTCGAGCTAAACGTTGAGTATCTGATGATGGTGGTGCGAATCGACGTCGGGACTTCGTTACCAGAGGCAGAGTCTGTGTGTTTGTAAAGCTGACGTTTTGCTCTTGAGGAGTGTTTGTTTGAATGAATGTACATCGACTTAATCAGAATAGCAACTCGGTTAGAGACTGATCCTTCTCTATCATCAGGAGAGGCTTGAAGAAGATTTTGATTGGTATGTGGACCCTTGTGCCTCGAGGCAGAAATTGTTTGCTTTTGTTATTAGGGCGGTGAGAAAATGCTTAGGAGGAAGTTTTCCCGAAATGTATTGAGTGATTTTATTAGAAGTCGAACAGTTCACAATAGATAGTTTCGTCAATACCGATGTTTTAGATGCGTTATTCATGGAAAAGTGTTCCGGCGTGGTGTATCGTTAGAAATGTTGGGTCGTTTCATTTGCGGTGTTGTTTGCTGCGGTGGGACATTGGTATACCATGCAGGAGCTAGGAGGATTGAAGCAGTTATTTCAGTTTCGTCTGGGAGGATACTTACAGAAGTGGATGAGTCGTCGGAGTCGGGCTCGGCGTTTTGTAAAAGATCGGCGGCTAATTTATAACGATACTTTTTTATATTTTCGTGGTGTATTTGGTGGAATTGTTGGCCGTTTACGTATGAATTGGTCTGTAGTAACAGATGAACGCCGCATGAATGAGAATCGTGTTGCTGATATGTTGGTTGTTCAGTTGGCGCTGCCACACACCATGAAGCATCAAAGTCGATGTTTCGTCTCGTGTGAAAGTAATGTTGGACATTAAGAACGTGTAATAAACAAGTTAAATTTTCATGCCTGAGCAAATCATGGTTTTTCAACGAATCTAGTTGAACTATGAGATGGTGTTCAATGTCAATGATGATAATATACCAATGGTGCTTTTGATTGATTGGGCACAGAATTAAATCATACTCATACCAGCTATTAGGCAGTTTTTGAACTTTGTTGTTTATAATTCTCGTGGTGAGATAGCTGGGGACTGAGAGAACTTTTTTATTGGAAGGTGCGTCAGATGCGGTGATGAACAAATGTGCATCTATAATTAAGTCGTTCAGATCACCGTTTTCTGTTATCAAGGTTCTGATGTCTTTGGGCCTCACTTCAAGCGGTCCTATGTCAACGGAGTGTTTGAAACGTGGTAAGAGCTTTTCTACGATGTCAAATATGTGCTCTTCAGGTTCAATGGGTTTCGGAAAGTTACTGATATCGATAACTGTCTTGTCGAGAAATGGTATTTCGAAGAATTTCAAATTAGTCTGATAGACAAAAACAGTCCATCTGGAAGCCATTCCTGCCTGCTCTGGTGTGAAATCAGTCAATGGCTCAAAAAGACCAGTCGCCTCATTGAAGGAGAGATAATGATTTTGTCTCTTACGTATATAGGCTATGTTATTTTCCTCGAGTACGACCAAAACAGTTTGCATTTCATATTCGAATGAAGGGTGTGAGTCAGATGGTGTGAGAAGAAGTCGGTCAGCCTCATCAATTAAATCTACACAACTAGTATCATTACTACTGGTTTGCGCTAGCAAGAATTTAGGAATATCATATATGGTACAGTCTGTAAATCCCAATCTTGAACATGATGAACATTTGATTTCATGGTATAGGAATTCGCTCATGATTTCAGTAATATGTTGTATGTTCGTTTTCATCTGCCATATTTGATTCAATTTATCGACAAGTATGGTATCTAAATATAAGACTCGATTAGTGCTTTTGTAAGGCGTTTGAATAATGAGCCATATTGGCACATTGCTCGTTGGTCATGTCGCAGCTATATTGTGACAAAAAAGCATTGATTTTTTTAAAAATTCTCATCAACAACTTTCCAACAATTATTTCATTCTTCTTCTTTTTTTATTTTCTCTTCTCTTCTCTTCCCTACCCTTCCCTTCTCTTCTCCTATCTCTCCCTCTTCTTCTTCTTCTTCTTCTTCTTCTACATTCTCTTTCTATTGATGATAATCGCTTCGATTCTTTCGAAATGATAACTCTGATAAAAAAATGACACATTCAAACTATTCCTTTTATCGTCCTTGTTCAATGGCGGCCGCGATATATTGATTTATCATTTCGAAAGCAGCGAGTCGATCATCACCCATAGAAAGAGAATGAAGAGGAAGAGGAAGAAAAAAGTAAAGAAAGTCAAAAGGATGAAAGAAACGAAAGAGAAAGAAGAGAGTAGAGAAGATAAAAAAGGCAAAAAACATGATAGAAACGATTGCATATAAAGTGATTCTTGAATTATGGGTATGGTAAAAGTTGAAAAAGAAGATGGATGAATTTTTCTTGGGCACGGTCCTAGTTATCTAGTGCCCAAAATACTATATGCGAACATGGCTCATTAGTTTTATATTTGTAATATCAAAACGATTTTTCTTAACAACGCTACTTAGACACCTTTTTTCAATAGAAACGTATTCGCTGAAATTCTTTGAACGTAATAGAAATGGTTATGCACTATGAAAGACTTCATATCTTTTTAATCTATTCTATTCTACTGATTCAACGTTACCTTTTCTACAATTGGGACAATAAAACCGTTTGGCAACTGCGAAGTTGAGTAAATTTTTGTTCAATATATCTTGTTTTGAGTAATAAGCGATAGCATCGTTTAAGGAAATGGTCGGTAGCAATTGAATATTACAAGGTGAAAAATTTGTAAATACATTCCAAAGTGCTTTGGAAAATATATCGATGTTTGATGGACGTGTGAAGTGAGCAAATACTACTGGTTGTCGGTCAGCTCGATCACCAAATAAACTAGAAGATTTGATTAATGTTATATTAGTATCATTGAGACGATACCAGTCATCTTTTCTTCTAACATAGATGACGTAATGTCCTGTGCCGTCTTTGCCAGTGAATGTAATAAATGATTGTAAAGTATACCGCGCATATGAGCGTGTAAAAATAACATTTTTTGACACAAGTTTGGTAAAGTCAACATGGCTCTCCATTACGTGATTGTCGTGTTCTGTGGTTGTTGATGCGTGAAAACGAATGAACAGATTTTTTGGACAATTTAACATCGACATTGAAGTGGTATGAAGATCATCCTTCAAACATTGTGGACACGTTTTCTTACCCAACGTTTCTCCAAATACGTTTGCCATAACATCTTCTAATCTTTCTTCAACAATTGGTTCAGTTACCAGAAGATAACTCCATGTATGTCGATCAATACTGCTTACTTTTTTGCATGAGGAACATTCGATGAAAATATCAAGAACAAAATTAAAGTCAATATCATAAAATTCAAGAACATCAATTATTGCTGCTTCAAAAAAGTCAAAAACGCAGTTGAACAACCCAGGTCGAATGTTAATTCCAGCCCAACGAAGATGTAGCAAATGTTCAGAAATCATATTTTGCTTAACAACTCGTCGTTCGTCATCATTGCCTTGCCTTGCTTGCTTGTTTACCAATGTATTTAACATATTCACCATCGACAACACTTTTGTAGATACAAAATCACCCTCAATATATCCAATACGTTCGATTGCTTGAGTAATATTACCAGACGCGAGGATCATTTGCAGCATGCTGTTATACCAGCAATTGCTTTCCTCATTCTCGAACCGTAAGAAGTGTGTAACATTTCCAACATCTAAATCAAATCATAAGAGTACAGCATTTTAAAATCTAATTGCTTGTTGATTTTTAATAAAAACTCTGAGTTATTACCTAGATTCGCATCGTCATTTTGTCCCAATAAACGAGTATTCATCATAGCAACAAGATTTGTCGATGGACGCCCGGCGCTATAAGAACTGTCGGTACTTCCGCTCCTTCTACGCTTGTTCCATCCTTCCGACGCCGATTTTTGCTTCGTTGCTGGTAGCAATCGATTCTTTCCGGCTTTAATCAACGAATAGTCAGCAAATTGAATTTCAACGGCTTCAATTGTGTCACCTAGCTTCGCGACTACTTCATCAACTCGTGAATAAACTCTCTTATTTAAAACCGCTTCCTTCAACACACGCATTCGTGATTCCGATGCTCCAGTTGTTCTACCAGAATGGCATGGGCATGATGGACGCGTCGAAGTTGATGAATACCCATATCGACGACCAAAATCACCCAAAAGAAGATTGCTCCAGAGTGGAGCTGTTGGCATGTAAAGCTTCAGAACACGAGTCAGAAATGCAGCAGAGAACAATGGATTACTTGGCAAATGTTTCCATTGCTCTACATCGTAAGTCTTGAGTAACTCTTTGCATTGCTGGAAAATTTTTCCGAACAACTCTTTAAACGATGAATCCAAATTTAGCACCGCTTCTTCCTCACCAAGCATCAGATCGACTCCATCGTCTTGTTCGATCTAAACACATAAACGAACTAATTGCAAATAACCGAAGCTACAAATCCGCTGTCTTTCTTTCATAGTTTCATAGGAGTATTCAACAGGAACCGGTGAGATGGTTTGACATTTGGTTTTGATTTGTGCTACTTACCTCTGTATCGAGATTGCTGATCAACTGTGCTTTGGGGGTTAGTGTGACATTCTGTAGAACAAAGTTCGTTGTGTCAGGATTGGCGTTCATTTGATCAGCCATCTTTGATAAAACAGATAAGGAAATCTTGAAATGATCGTTTTGATTGACACTGAGAAGAAGAGTGCAGATGTTGCGCCATACGATGATCATCTCGTTCAATGTGTTGCTATTCACTAATAAAGCCATTAGCCACATTCCAAATGGAACCTATGGTTGAAGAAAAAGGTATGGAAACGTGGTTATAGATATATGTATTTGTTTATATATGCGTGTGTTATGTGGCAATAGTAGAAGGATTTACCTGTTTTTTGTTCATATGTTTAGATGCGTGTTTCTTGACATTCTTCATGAAGTGGCCAAGACATGCGTGAACAATCGTAATTTCTAGGTCTTGTTTACTGGCTGTACGATGTATGATGCGCCAGCATCTTTCGATATAGCGATTCATCGTTTCATCTCGATTGAAAATCTGGATACCAGCATTCAGAAAAACCAGGGCACGATCGGAATGGATGATAGGTGGCTTGGGAAATTGTTCAGAATAACCGTAGATTTGTTTGTATTTTTCAATGAAACAATTCATCCAATGAATAATATCCATGGTACCATGTGATTCGCTCAACATTGATGTAATAGGAAGAGATGGGCCGCCTTTAATCAGGTTCGTCATTGTTAATTCATAATAATAGATTTGTTTTTCTCGTTTCATTACAATACCACCCGTCGCATCCCACGAGAGCGGCATGTTTAAAGCAAATTTATGGTATGCGGCAATACCTCCTGCTGTGAAGCAAACAAGCCTTAGCGGCTCCACACCTATTACTTGAAGATATCCTGGAATTGGCTCACCAGGAAAAACAGTTTTTGCTTGATGACCCTTGATTTGGTGAAGGCTATTGTGTAAATCATTAGCTTGACGCAATTTAACATTAGCTTCGCTTGATATTTTGCGAATTACTGATGCACTTGATCCTACACTGTTTCTATTACCTGATTTTTTATTGTTGTCAGATAGCAGTTTAAGTTGTGCAAGATGAAGAGCATTTGGTGTAGCGCCAAGTGAAGTAAGTTTCTGCAAATTTTCACGGCGACTCCCACGATATGGTCTTGCATGTATCTCGCCTATTATATGATCAATATGTCCTGAGTAAGTAACAGCAATTGTACCATTTTCATTGACGATAGCATGAAATTCGCAAGAGCATGTACTAAATACACAATGCGCATCTGCACTTAAAAAGAATTGATTACTATTGCCTATTGAATTTCGAATAGTAAAGTGGTGTCGTTCGTAAGCAAACACACAATAATCATTCGAACGTTCCACATACTCGTCTAAAATTACTGTCCATTCATAATTTCTTCCTTTATGCTCAACAGTATTGTCAGAAGGTAAATTAGTCGATTTGACATTATTATTCTTTGCATCTCTTTTTATTTGATGGTTTTGTTTGAATAGTTTCAGTTGATTCATATCATCTTGAGAAATAACAAGACCTAATGTTCGTTCACGTTGTTGAATCCCATCAATATTACAGGAAAACATTAATGAATCATCTGTTTGACGTTGCAAATAGCGAAGTGTCTTCACCTGTTCTTCATCAATTGTGTGTTCTAATGATTTATTTGGACTGGACATTTTCTAAACAATAATATTATGCGCTCTTTATTGTACTATTTATAATATAAATACATGCAAATTTATCACTAAATGAAGATGGGTTAAGTAAAGATGAGTATATTATCTGAGAAATCGTTATTAATCGTTCGAAGACAAATCATTTTATACTTGATAAACCACGAAAAGTAGTTAAAAAGTATCAATAGAATCAGAATAGCAATTTAAAGAATTACAAAAAAAGATCAGCTTTGAAAAACCAACCGTGTCGTTTGCAAATAAACATGAGCCAGAATTAAATTTATTAGTGTTGACCAATGATAACGTATTATTATTTCCATGTGTTGGAGAATTGACAATAGATGACTTTACAAAACAAACGCATGGCTTTTCTTTAGACAAGTAAGCATTGCTAAAATTTACCGAGGAAGCTGGCGACATTAGTAATTGAAGTGGAGATATAACAGATGAGACTGTTACATTAATTGGATATTCATCTGATGATACAGAACTCCCACTCTTAAGAGAAAGAATTAATATGAGTTCCGACAATGTTGTCCACTTACTTGATGTTCATGACGATCACTTCTTGTTGGATCGAATGAAACAGTGCCATGATTGTTTCTTTCGTTTTCATCAACAGTAAGATGAGGTGAATGTATCTAAAATATCAAATTGATACTGCTACTATTAAGCTGTGATCGTACTCACATCATACTCCGGAGAAAGATTGAAAGCACTTCCATTAGAAGCATATGCATTATTCAATAATGCTTGGCAACCATAGATAATCTTAACTGCAACAATATCTCTTGAACAATTTTGGCAATTGTGACCATGCGTATCAATTAATGAAAGATTTTTTCCTTGTGAAATTAAAAATTTATTTAATTCTTCTTTGAATTTTTCATTGGTTTCCGACGTTGTTTTCATTGTTGAACGCTACAAACATAAATATGTGAAAAAATATTCTCAAATTAACTCTTCATCAGAAGTAGAAGTAAAATGAATGATTCGTTTTAAATTTTCATGTGTTCAGTGAGTCTGTTAAGTGACAATCCTATGCCAGTTGGAACACAAGCATGTATAGTCATTGTAATTAGCGTTCAAACTTCAGAAATGATGATGAATTTTAACTTTTCAGGAAAAACATAAAATCTTATTCAATCTAATATGATTTAAATTCATAAAATGCTGATTTAGAATCTTCTTTTTTGAGAGTACCATACATTTCTTTTCCGACAACACATCTGTATCCTGTGTTGCTTTACTCTATGATATATATGGCGTATTAAAGTTTTCTACATGAATATGTTTCCGTCGTTGAAGACATCACTTTTATTCTTTTGTTACCTTATTTGTATCGGTCAACCTTATCAATCTTACGTATATGTTTACGAACATATACATGGCTCGTTCTCAGCTATGTTTTTCTCTGTTCTAATCTATGTCTGAATATATAGCACGAACGGTGAAGCGAATTGAAAGAATGGAAAATGGAACAGATAAAAAAAAAGTGAACTCATACAGCTCCGTTACTTTATTGTTTTCACTTACGAGTATTCCTTTGTTGCTATCATTGATTTCAGTAGCAATAGAAATGCCTTTCTTTGGTGAGATGGTTTGAGTTGTATCATTAGTTGTGCATTTGTCAATTTCTTTTACCTATCATCAAGATAATATTTTGAAAAAAAGATTTCTACAAGACTGTACAGATTAAAAAATGATTTCGATAAAATGATGTAACTCTCATTGATCCACAGCTTCCTACTCACAGTGCGCATCGAAAATATACTTTCTTGGTTTTTAAGTAATTAGATGAATGATTTGTTTCATGTTGTATTATAGAACGTTAATTGCAGATGTTCAAACGTTACTACCAGCTGCATACCTGTGACATGTCCAGAGTAAAATCTTGTACTTCATATTTTCTGCGTTTCCACAAATCATAGCATGCGCGTTTATTTTCAATGTTATTTCCTTTTCCCATCTTGACACATATTTGCCCCCACAAGTCAGACGTCGATTTAGAATGGTCAAGCAGAACAATCTGATTAGTAGGAAATGATCCAACTGCGACCTTAAAAGCTTCTTCATCAATTCTAGCCTTAAATGGCATAATGTAAAATGTGCGTTTTTCCCGTTTTAAGACAATCTACAAGAAACATAATTTGATCAAGATTGTCAATATTTACATACTTTTCACGTAACACAAATAATTTATCAATGAAAAATGATGAACGTCGGTTACAAATGAAAAGCATAGGTCTACAAGCAATTTTATCGCATGCGACTGTATTTATGTTTTATTTTCTATCAGTGTGCCAACACAAAGCTATCACCTACTGACAGGCTAAAGTGAGTATCCTCTTCACTACTTGACATGCATATGTTTGCCTTTCTTGTTGATACTATTATCTATCGCTCAAGGACTTCGTTCAACATCTTTATAACATCAATCAGAAGATAACAATAATGCGCTAGGCAGTGCTTTGTTATTTGTTCTCTCATGATTAAATAAAAACAAATGTTTACGATACTAACCTGAACGAGTATTTCGTACATTAAACTTACTATGAATTTATTCATTAGAATTAACTACATGAAATAATCGGATTCGATGGATTATCGAACGTATAGATATCTTCCAAAGTAATACATTAGAATCGCACGCAGATTGATTGATTAATTAGTTGATATGACAGAAAGTCGATGTTAAGATTGACAAAAAGGAGTTTAAAAACGCGAAATTCCATTGAATATCGAATAGAATTTTCTTTGCATTTTTCGTATTTTTGTCTATCGCCCAATTAGGAAAATATAAAAGTAATAATAAGTTCTTTTGTCATTTTGAAAGCCATGGTCGTGCTCATTGTTATACTTCAAATTGAGCATATATCATAAAAAAGTGGCAGAAGGTGTTGCTTCGAAAAAGAACTTATTTAATAGTTCATTTGTTTATCTCTCAATATTTTTAATGAGCTTCTCTATGCTTATCTCTCTGCTCTCCATTCTCTCTCCTCATTCTTTCTGTCTCTCTATCACTTTCTTTTCATTTGCAAATATTCATAACGTTCCTCGACATATATTGAATTCATGAATAATTTTTTTACAGCTATATCATCTGTTATATTGATCTATACTATACCTATCGCACGAATAAACGCATCACCAAACTCCATTATTGTTGATGTAGATAAAGGCATTGTTCTTCAACATGTCGGTGTATATTCTGAGAAATTCGAAGAATCTATCTTCCATATATTTGTGCCGTACAATGACTTATGCAATGAATCACCAGACTCACCTGCTTGCCGATACGTACACTCGACTCAACCAGATATTATTGATCTTGGCACTATTGTCTCAGATGCTTACCAACTACTTAATTATGATAAAAATAATATTTCGGCATTCATTGAAACAGACGTTAGACGAATTTTTTCTCATCACGAGATTCACAAATTTATTGGCAAATCGCGATCCACCGTATTCTTCATTGATGATAGATTCTACATGCCAGGTAATACCGTTGAATCATCTATTGTAAAACCTTCGTCCTCATCAGATATCGAGCAACATGCACTCATATATCAACCAACTAATCCAACAACACGAATTCTAGATAATATTCGTAAAGAAAAAATTGGATATGACTTTTTAAATAACAAACAAATGGACGATCTTTTATCCGTAATTTTACCGACTATGGATTCACAATTAGATGACCAAAACTTAAAGGAAAATCTTAATACACTGGTAAGCATGGTGGTTGGACAGTCGATATATGTACTTAAGTCATGTTCAACTGATCACAAGAGTAATTTGCCAAATAGTCCATCATGTCTTGTTATTTCTACAATGTTCCGTCGTCTTCCGAAAGACAGTTCGTTGCATTACCAGGTATATCGCATGATGCCACTACCAATACTGTTTAAAGATGAAGCATACATCTATTCAGATTTACCGGATACTATTGCTTTTGATTACATGCAGAAAAACATTATAACTTGGGATGACACTGATTCGAAAGCATCTACTTGCATTTTTTCCAAAATCGTACAATGTCGTAATTATCCATTGGTTGTTCCTATATCTACTCTACCTTGTCTTTCCGAACTTTTTACTTTCGAACCGTCTTCATCTAACAGTAATTGTGCAGTAGCCAAGTCGAAAGTTCACGATGGTGGTATTCTGAATATTCAAGATAATATTTGGTATTTTTACATCGTCAAGCAGGCTTCGTACTGTACGTATCAATCATTAAATACACCCACGAACATAAGAATTACCGAACCATTGATAATATCGTTACCATGCAATAAACCAGCACATTGTATAGATAGTCATATATTGCCAGCATCATGCACTAATGCAAGTATTCTTTTAAAATCGACTCGTAATCGCACGATGACCACACCTATTACTAACGTTGTCCGCTTCAATAATATCGTGGAAAGACTTGTTACCGCCTACCAGACGACCGCTAAATCTACTCTTCTTCAGATACAGAGCGAAATTGATGAAAGCGAGCCATTATTTGAAAAAATTTTCGAAGGATTCGCCAGTCCAACACTATCATTTATTGCTTCAATATTAACGACTGTTGTCTTAGTTATTTTAAGGAAGTATCGTAGAAATAATAATCAGGATGTTCAAGAATTGAAAACAGAAATCAATCGTATTAAAAGAGACTTAATACAAGATGTCTAATTATCTTTTTTGAGTTATCTTACTTTTCATCGTAGCAAACATTAGCTGTAGCATCGATTGTTATGTAGAGTTAAATATGCTATGCATAGAAATTTTGAGAGTTTTTATCCTTGGCTCAAACCATTAATGTAATCATATGCATAAGTAATCTTTAGATACTTCTTGAATAAAAACTTCTTGAAAAATCAACTGTAGTTTTCGAATATATGAAATTCATTTGACAATTCGCTTTTCAACACATGAAGATGTGATATTGATGATATACACAAAACCGAAACAAGCTAAGGAAGAGAATTCTTTTTTATTAGTATAACTATAATATTCTACACTTCTTCAATGGGTGCGCTATATAATAGCTCGTCATTGAATAGAAATATCCGATAGTGCTTCGTTCATCCCATCCTTGATCGATATTCATGGAGATAAAACCAGCTGAAATCAATCTACCGTCAAAATCACGACTTTCTCTAGCGAAGCCAAGCACATTGATAGGTCGCAATAGAATATTTTATCATTTATGTGTATAAACACAGCATCAATCTTCCTTGTTATCAGTTCTGAATTCATATAGCTCCCGAGAAACACGCTAAGCCGTTTGACATAAAGAACGTGACGTGATATAGAACGAACGAATGAACATATGTATAACGTCATGAACATATGGAACGAAAACATAAACACATACCTCTATCTCATTGATGAGAAGAACACGCAATAGACATCTAATCACGTCAGCTGATTGACCTATATTTTGAAAAATCAAACATTCCTCTTCATTTCGAGCTTTATTGTGAAATATATCAAAGTAAATACAAGCCAAGAAAAAGATCTGCCGCACAGAAACGAAAACTAACAAAAAAAACCAAAATAAAATTACAACGCCTGTGGTGGCGACGATGACGTAGCTGAAGAAATGGTCGATACCGGACGTCTTTCATTGCCCCTTGACACCATTTCTAAATCTAAATTAAGATTAGTACACCTATCATAACTTCAATAATCGCTTACCATTCTTCGCCAGTTGGCGACGTTTGTACTCGGCCAAAGATTTTGGGCGAAACCATGCAGACTAAAAAAACAAAGGGTATTGATCAATTATATTTTTCATCAACTTACCTTGCACCGCCCCCCATTCCGGATAAACTTAATACCGCATGTGCAAATACAAACGAAACCGCCCGATGACAAGGTACCCAACGCAACATTGATTGCCATGGAAAGCCAATCCACACCTTTACCAGACCGTAAAATCGTCGAATGACCCTCCAACGGCGTCGCAGTCGAATTGGGGGACACGCCATCACCGAACGACTTCTTCGCACCTGCCAATGCGACATTAAGTTGCTCCAGAGTTTCGAACCAAATAGGCTAAACAAACAGATTGAACACAAATCACAGCACTACAACAAAACTACCTTGCCCAAGCATCCACACGTAACCCACAACACCAACACCACACAGCGAAAAGCACATTTATTGAGTGACATCATTCACAATGAATTGGAAAGAAACATCCTTCTTATCTTATATAACACGCTCACCCAACATGAAAACAAGCCAATCACACCAATTACGATCAATCAATCAAACCGATAACTCCTTGAACGCAAATCATTGTAACATACGAACGTTCAAAGCAATACAAACACAAAACTTCACATCTATGGACATTGCACCGATCTGCATACTCCCCTCACCCCAATCCATTCCTACCTGACAACAACTATAGCGACCAATTATCCACAATATAGTTTCCATAATTGCCGAACGAATTTCATCCCTCCCATCTGAAACAAATATATAAACCGATCAACCATTCGCGGGATCTCATGTACCGCACATTTAAATCATCCCGTTCATAACAGATCACACTTCACATTCACGAAAATAGGACTCCGAGTATCCAACCGATGCATTAATTATCGCATCCCACATAATTTAAGCCGCAGAATCTATAAAAGTGCGTAACACCTGTACCAGACCCCATTAATATTCGATGAAAAATTCAAGCATACTAATCGCGCACGTAACATTTCCACGGAACTCATAAAACACCTGAAAAAATCCGGATAGCTAAGAGACAAAACACCTTGGTGTAAATCATGCTCAAAGCGAGCTACTCCGTACAACTGAATCAGTCATGTCTATCATTCGCTGTCAATCCTGCAGAATCATTCACCCCATTCAAAAACCTTTCACATCTAACGCGCGCCATTTCGAACTGGAGAAAAGAGGCTTGCCAAAACATCAATTCAACAACGAACCACCTACGGCGATCACGACAGCCGAGATCCCTTCCCTAATTATTCGCATCGGTTCTGCAATTTCCAACAGATACAACATGGGACTCTACACTACGAATTGGGGTCGCAAACACCAGCGATCATTTCGCGATGAAACCACAGTATGCCCGAAAATGCAATAACACCTGCCCAGTACCAGTCACGATAATAAGACACGCCCCACTTCGCGTGCTCAAACATTCCACATAATTCTGCGACGTGGAACAGACTCAGGATCGACCTCCGGACTATAAGAGCCTATCCCATAAACACCACACTCAATTCGCAGCCCTCAAAACCAAGAACACAAACGTAAATACCACCCCTACCTATACAGATCAACTAACGTGTTCTGTCACAGCTCCTGCACACCTACCACTAGCTCTCCTCGCAAAACAGAATGCCCTTCGAAATCTTTATTACACGACTCTCTCGCTTGAAAACGGAATCATTTCGCACTACACAGAATCGGCGGCGGAAAGATCAATGGCGGCCGTGTGTGGACCAATGATTCGAGGTCTCATATATCCGCTCATGAGTTACTCCGGCGGATAACGCAATGTGGAACAGATTCAGCTTTCAATTCTGCACTAGAAGACACTCTCGTTTGTCACCGGACTCATTTTCAAGTGGTGAGAATCGGCGGCGGAAAGATCAATGGCGGCCGTGTGTGGACCAATGATTCGAGGTCTCATGGATCCGCTCATGAGTTACTCCGGCGGACTACGCAATATGGAACAGATTCAGCTTTCAATTCTGCACTAGAAGACACTCTCGTTTGTCACCGGACTCATTTTCAAGTGGTGAGAATCGGCGGCGGAAAGATCAATGGCGGCCGTGTGTGGACCAATGATTCGAGGTCTCATGGATCCGCTCATGAGTTACTCCGGCG